AAATAAGGGATAGACCCTTTCCCCCACACAAGAGACATTCCCCTCTTTTACACAAAAACAACATCACATGACACTGCACATTGTTGTACAAGACTTGGTCACCAACCAATCACCATCCCACACACATATCACACAACTATGCATCCCCATTCACTTTCTTTGGGTGCACAACTCAGAATATTTTAACTTTGGAAATCAAACCTTGGTGTGTTTTGCACAAGTTTTATGTCCACTCAAATTGCATTCAACTCCCCACAGTGGAGTTCCTCTTACGATAGATCAAGCTTGAATTCTAGTGCTGTCTTTCATGACATTTATCATGTGGTTTTTGGAAAAATTTAAAAGGGCTGTAGATTGGTCTTCTCAACTTGTTGCTTCATTAGTTTATGAAAAAAAACTGAGGAATGTTGTTATTTTAATAAATTTTCTTAAGATAGCCTACGCTAACTTTTAGCGGTGCAACTGGCCTATTTCAAATGATCAGCGCGCCCCTTGCACCGTTAGATTATAATAATCTATTTCAACAACTCTACACAACAATTTCTTTTCTCCTATATTCTCTGCTTTTTTTTCATCTCTCATAAGATCTCAATAATCTTACAAGATTGGACAGTCCTCACATATTTGGTTCTAAAGTGCTAGGCCTTTTTCTTTTCAACATGGAAAATATTGTATCTTTTAATGCAATACCCCCCCCCCCCACCCCTGTTTTGGTTCAAGGCCTAAATGCATCCTGTATCTCAAGTTTTTTCATAGTATTGACTGTGCTGTTTTTTTTGGCTTTGGTGTTATCTCAGACTTTCCACCACCCCTATGTGACCCAACTCAAACGGAAAAGGCTTATGTTTCTAGCGATGGGTCTATTGATTCTGATGAGGCTACATTAGCTTACATGGCGTTTCTGGGATTGGCCATAAGAGGTCCGAAGTAAATCAGGCTGTTTTGCGGGGGGATGTGCACTTGAGTTGGGTGGGTTGCGCGTGGGGCTGGATTCAAAACACCAATGGGCTGTGTATGCATCGGGCAGGCCTCCAACCTGAATGACAACAGCTTTGGTTGCCATCAGCATACACACACCACTTCAACCCGATCAAGCTCGATATACCTGAACGAAGAAGTCGACGAGTGGTTTTCGATCACCAAGCATGGCCCAGATACTAAATTCATTGGGACGAGTTGAGTGACCTTCTTTTTGTTTTATGTTTTCAACATTAGAGCAATTGGCGTGCACCTCATTGGCTGCAAAGTTTAATACTCTGTAACAGGTCGTGCTCGATAAAATTCTGCAGACAAGCTGACATCTATTGTTTGTTCCTGCTGGATAAAATAATAGCTCACAGGACCTTTAGTTGCTGGCGCCCTAGTAGCACAGGCGTCGATCTACGATGTCCCTGGAGGAAACAGGGCTGTTCTTTTCGATCGGTTCACAGGGGTTAAAGACAAGGTGAGGGAGCCATATTCAATCGAAATCGGGGTGGACTGCTGGACGATGGCCATTTCTGCCTTGTCCGCTTTTGATTAATTCGACTATTGCGACGCTTGTTGAGCTCACGAGTCTTCAATGTTGTAAATCTTATCCAGGCCGTCAATGAAGGAACCCATTTCCTAATCCCTTGGGTCCAGCGTGCGATCCTATACGATGTCCGAATTAAGCCTCGCAACATTGCCACCACCACAGGTTCAAAGGATCTGCAAACTGTCAGTCTGACGTTACGTGTGATGAGGTGAGGTTCTTATTTCCTCCCAATACTTGTTTCCTGCCGAGTGTTTATCGGATCACAAACCGACGTTTTTTCGATTGGTGATCTCAACTTTTTACACACGATGTGGTGATCAGTCGTCCGGATGTCTCAAAACTATCACAGATTTACCAAAACCTGGGCCAAGATTACGACGAAAGGGTCTTGCCATCGATCGGGAATGAAGTCTTGAAGGCGATCGTAGCTCAATTTGATGCAGCCGAGCTCATCACTCAGCGAGAAATTGTGTCAGGCCGAATCCGAGAGGATTTGCTAAAACGGGCCTCCGACTTCAATATCGTACTAGAGGATGTTTCGATTGTGAGATCTCACACATACTTACTTTGCCCCTCCATGAATGACGCAAGCAAGTATTAATCGCCATTCTTGCAACTTCTTTTTTTTTTGGTCTAGACTCACATGACCTTTGGGAAAGAGTTTACACACGCAGTTGAGGCTAAGCAGATCGCTCAACAGGAAGCTGAACGAGCCAAGTTTATCGTCGAACGCTCCGAACAAGAACGACAGGCTAGTGTCATTCGGGCTGAAGGAGAGGCCGAAGCAGTAAGCCGCCCTTCTTTCCATTTTCATCCCCTGCTGTTTTTTGAATTTTTCGAAAATTCACGTCTGGATAATGGTGCACTGATTCATGTTCTTCTTGATTGAACTTTGATAGGCTGCAACTATCTCCAAAGCCTTAGACCGGGCTGGTGAAGGCCTAGTCCAATTCCGAAAGATTGAGGCTGCAAAAGAAATCGCGACAACCTTGAGCAAAGGTCAAGGAGTACAATACATCCCATCGGGAGGTAACAACGGGAGTGGGATTCTACTCAATATTGATACCCACAAATGATTTCGAAACTAAATAATAACAAGAACAACTTATATAAATAGATATAAGCTACATATACAAAGCTCAGGTCTCCTGACTTTATTTTGCCTCATCATACCTTTGTATCTACTTGTTTGCTATCACCCGGTCGCACACGGTTTGTCATTCCCCAATGTGATTGGTTTCGATCACTCAAAATGGCACATTAAGCCCACGTGACCAATTCTCACCATTTTGACTCTCCACAAGCTACGACTTATCTGGACAACCAAGGCACTTCATGTAACAGGCTTGAAGATGGATAATTACTTCAATCAATCCTCATGTTCCACATTTCCTCCTCGTAAACGATCCAAGCACTTCAAGTTTGAATAGATTGTTTATAGAGTCTTTTGTTTTGGCTGGATGGCGCATTGTTTCAAAACCACTATTGTTTTGATTGCCCAACATGCTCAGGTTTTCTGAGATGGAGCTCATTCAAGCAGAGTAAGCAATGAGAGGTTTATAGTCAAATGCAGCTCCTTCGGGAGATATTTCTTACAGCTCTCCTTTGAGGATCATTGCCTCGCTGGATTGCTGAGTTTCTTTCCACCAAGGCGTTGTCCATTTCGAGATCTTGCTACATATAAACAACGGTGTCAAACAGTACGAATCCGATCAAATAACCTCTGGGAACACGCTCTCATTATCGCCATCGCCTTAATAATGGGACTGCCCATCGCGCACATCGTAGTGGTCAGATGATGTTGCAAATGCTCTTACTTCTCCGGCTGCCTCGACATGTTGCTGGCGGGCTCAGGCCTATTCAGATTAATCATTACACCAGTCCGTTCGTGGGAGAGATGCTACTGCGCTGCAGTCTTCTCCAGGGGGAATATGTAGTGGGGCCCATCCTGCAGAAGATTGTACCGCCTCGACCTGCCTCGACAAGTTTGGCCACCAGCGTCTTGGACTGTGGCGGTATACCAAACTGTACAACACCGCCACCACTCGAGCCATCTGATGATCTGAAGGAACTGTTCTGGCTGATCTATGTACAAATTCTGCTCATTTTACCACATAAACACCAGAGCACAAGATTCTCATTTCTCGCGTATACTTAAGTGTTGTACTTAACACTTTTTTCCAACTCGTCTCTCAAACTTATTCAACATCATTCCGAGGACCGAAAAAAATCATTCAAGATGCCAGTCATAAGCTCGATGCTCAAGTTCGCCCTGCTCTTATCTGTGGCCCTTTCCCAATTGTCCTTGACGGGTGCCAACTCGATCGTCTCGCCAAAGGCTCACGAAACACTCAAGCCAGGCCAGAAGCTCGAGGTAATCGTCAAAAGAAATTGTGAGTCGCACTGCCTATATATATCTCTCTTGTTCGACATCTTGCATGTTGTTAACGTTCCTGTGGGGATCTCAGCCACCGATGCGTCCGTCAAGACGATCGCTTTCGCCGCCGGGTTGTCCGTCTATCCAGAGAGTCTTGGAAGACCTTTCCTGCGCACCGTCGAAGTTGGAAAGGGCGAAGCTAAATGGAACTCGAAAGACGCGACTTACACATTCGAAGTCACCTTGCCTTCAGCCAGCGATTTCATCGACCAGTTCTCTAAACCGTACGTGGTCGTCTTGTTCTCATTCGCCCTGTTATCTTTTTTTTTACTTTTCGACATGGGCTTATATGACAAGTTACCCCTTCTGTTACATTTAGGTATACTTTGGCTGTCTCTGAGTATTACTTGAAAGGGGTAAGATTTGCTTGCAATTTCGTGCTCTCAAATTGATGCAGATTAACTCATGAATATTTGAACTTGTTACACCTTCTCTCCAGCCCTCCAACACGCCCACTTTAGGATTATCCAACACTCCTGTGACGATAAAATCAAACTGAGCTTATTGATGGCCACAGGTAAAGTTGGCCTTAGCGACCGCTCAAGTATTCGCATTTGTTCTCTCAGCTTGACCAACGATCGTTTTTTTTCTGGATCAAACACTCAGACATAGTAGTAGAAATCTGGCTGTGAAGCTGTCGTCCAATTGTTCCTATAAAAAAAGCACAAATTGAACCCTGAGCTTGGGGGGTTGAAGAATTACGTAATTGTGGACCTCTTTCTCCTTTTATATGGATTGGCCTTTCAAGCCCGCTGTTTCTTTAGTTTCAATAAATAAAATATTGGGAATGAGTTCGACTAAGAAGTCTGGATAAGTTTCCAAGCTCGATTTTTTGTATGCGCGCACATGATTTTCAGTGAGATTAGAATTTGAAAATCCACAATGTCCTTCAAATTGAGCTTTATGAAGCATATTATCGATGATCAATGACTTGGAGAGCCAGCTGCAATGGTTTGGGCACATCTCAGTTCAACATGACCTAAGCTGGTTACTAGTGGGCAAGGAACCCAAGGGGAGTAAGCACTTTTGATTAGGGTGCTGCCTCAGGTTAGAGGGAGCTTATATAGAGTGTGGGTGAGGGAGATCATGTTTCTTCTAGGCTGTGTCAATGTCATCAGATTCACCAGGTCTCATGATGTCTGCTGACACTAAACCTGAAATCAAGATTCAATTCAGACAAGCCAGCACACCAAGTTCACAAATTGACCCAACTTCCTGTGTGAAATGACTTAAGATATTTTATCATCCAACACATTTCTTGGGATTCCGATGAAAGAGAATCTTTTTCCCAACTGTTTCTCTCCAGTGGATGAAATATGAGGGCCTTCAAGACTTCAAGGTCAAGTCAATTGGGATATGGCAAGTCATCACGTTTAGACACATAGCCTTTTCAAGGAAAACATGGTGATCTAAGGTTTCAGATTTAATCAACTGCCACTCAAAATGATGCTAAGAATGAAACTACATTTTTCATATTTTGCCTCTTGAATAATACAAAGCTCTGGGAAGATCAAGTCCCTTGCTGGGCAAAACCTCCTTATCCTGATGACAGGGGATTGTAAACATGCCTATGGGAAAAGCTAAACTTTGCTGGTAAAAGTTTTTTTTTGTTCTGGTCTACTTCAGGTGGCCTAAATTTGGGGATTTTGCTCATCCCCTCAGCATACACTTTAAATTTTTTTATTGATGTCCATCACTGTTATATTTGAAAAATAAAGGTAGTTTTTCCAAATAAAATTCTTGAGAATTTCAAAGCAACACAAAAGTGATTTTTTTTGAAGATATTCCTTGAGAATTTCAATTTTTGAGAAGCTGAATGGCAGATGTTGTTGCACAGCACACTTGACTGTTTTTGGCTGCCTGCTAATTTCCCTGACTTATCATTCTGGCCCACACCACTGCTTCCATCTGAAAACATTGAAAAATCTCTGAATTTGTCACTAAATCACCACAACATGTTCTCATACTTGCCAACCCGTGTAGAGTTATTCCTCAGTGTTCTGCTGATTAATCTGGAGGTTCACTTGTGACTTCAAGGAGGTTGATTGAATTTTGGATTTTTTTTCCCAACAGGTATTTTTTTCTGACTCAAATAGGACAGTTAATCACACATGAACTTTGAGTCAAATTTCATGGCATTTATTGTTAAAATCAAAAATCTCAAGTTGCTCCAAAACCAATGATGCATGAGATTTGAAAAGAATTGTAAAATTTTGTCCATAAATTTACTGAAATTTGCCTGCTTGAACTTCAGAAGTGAACGGGTGTAATACACCTTTCAAAAAAACAGAAGGATTCTCCAGGTCAAAATGGTAGACTGGACTTTTTTTCCTAGATTCTTCATGTTACCTGTTTACAAGTTGTTTTTCATTAGCTCAAATCTTCCAAGAAATACCACATGTTTCTCCTATCCTGCCAAGCTGGGAAGTCCTTCGGTGTACCGCCATTGGAGAGGATCACCGAAGTTTGATGACAGAGCCATTCACAGCAGCTGGGCAGATGGCCACAGCAGTCTGCAGTTGACTGGCTTCTCGCGCGAGAGATGTTTATGTAATCTCGCAGCTCATCCACCCGGTCGGCCCCGGGTACTCGGCTGGAACTGGGCCTACCAGCCGACCAATCACGACAAACTCAAACAACCCACCACCAAGAATAGGAGGAACCCCCAAGATAAAAAGGAACATATCATCCAACCAGCATATACTCCAACGACATGGATCAACAGAACCTGCAACCTACCCTCGAGTCTTATCCCGACCTACCTCACCAGCCTCAGCGGACCCACGCCACTTCGCCCTCATCAGGACCAAAAGGATCCACAAGACTGATCGATCTCGAACTGAGAGAACTATCCAGTTCTGGAAACAAATCGGGCCTCGAGATCAACTCGACCCTAAGTCTAACCGATAACCTGATCATAGGGACCAGGAACTCGAAGTTGGCATTAGTCCAGGCAGAATCGGTGGAAAGGGAAATCAACAAGCGGTTCTCATCAGATCAGATCAAGACGGAGATCAAATCGATGAGCACTTCAGGGGACGAGAACCTGCTGAAGCCGTTATATCTACTCGGTGGGAAATCCGTGTGGACGAAGGAGTTGGAATTCAACCTCCTGAACGGCTCGATCGACTTGATTGTTCACTCTTTGAAAGATGTTCCAACTTCCTTACCCGCTGGATGCGAGCTGGCCTCAGTCATGCTTCGGGAGGACCCTCGGGATGCTCTCATCATTCGAAACGGGTTGCCCTTCACTAACCTCTCTCAACTACCCGCCGGGTCGATCATCGGTACTTCGAGTGTCAGGAGAGTCGCCCAACTTCGCCGCCGATTCCCCAATCTGGCTTTTCAAGATATTGTCAGTTTTATCATCCATAGATACCTACTTTTTTTTAGCTAACTTCTGGTTTATTACGACGATTATTCAGAGGGGAAATCTTCAGACTCGATTCAAGAAACTCGATGCATCAGATTCACCCTACACAGGAATCATCTTGGCAGTAGCGGGACTGAAGAGAATAGGCCTAGCCGAACGGATCACATCATACTTGGAGCCGCCGGATCTGTACCACGCAGTCGGACAAGGAGCAATAGGGATCGAGATCCGAACCCCACCTGAGATCAAGCTGAATGAGACGGTTGAAGAGACGATCTTGAGAGAGCGGGCGACGACGGTACGAAGGCTGGTGAAGAGCTTGGAAGATTGGCGGACGGCATTGAGCTGTGAAGCTGAACGGGCCTTACTTCGTCGACTCGAGGGAGGCTGTAGTGTGCCTGTAGGAGTGACTTCCTCGTTAGTCGATCTGCCGATGCCATGTCCCTGGGCACCCAAAGCTCGACTGACGTTGACCGGAGTGGTGACGAGCGTGGATGGGCTGGAGGAAGTACGGAAAGAAGCCTGGCTAGACGTCTGTGGTCCTAAGGACGCCGCCCATCTTGGAACCGCTCTTGCCGATGAACTTTTCCGTGACGGGGCTGATAAGATCTTGGACCAACTTAACTCGGTAAAGAAATTAGACCTCGAGGAAGGGGCCGCGAGTGAGAGCACTTCTGGATCTTCTAATCCCTCTAGGATCGCCACACTCGAATCTCAATCGCATTTCGTCATCGCTGCTCCCGCTAATTCTTCACGTACTGATATCGGCTCTAATCAAGATCATGTCGTCTTCTAAGCAGAGATCTATTAATCAAAAGATTTGTTTATCATTTTGTTATGTCCTTTTTTCCCTATTTCGATCTAGAAAAAAATAAAGCTTATTATTATAGAGCAATACAGAACAAAAAAAACTAAACAAACAATTGGATAACTGTTTTTAATATCATTTGTTAGATTACTTATCCCTCATCTTATCTAGCCTGGTTTCCTTTTTGTCCTCTTTTTCGGTAAATCTATACATATATATATAATTTTAGCATGCTATTTTGACATCCCTCATCATCACCTCATATTTTCTCTCTCTCTTTCTCCTTGATTTGTCTCTAACTCGCATCTGGTTTTGATTTTAATTCTATTGATCTTTTTTTATAAATCAAATTAAGAGGGAAAGAAGGAAGTTCATTTCTGGCTGCACCGAGGCTGACGGACCACAGCACTTCTTCACTTGTCTTGTTCATCATCTTAAGTATCCATTGATACTGACATTTTTTGGGGCTCTTTGAGTCACAAACTCTGGATATTTTTTTTTATATGCTTCAGTGGACACCAATTCAAATGGTCTTTTTACGTATCTTGATGTGTGGGTTTGTCACTGGTGATGTTGGACCTTTTTTGTAGATCTGTTCTTGAGCAGGATTCAGATTAAAATAAAATCCTGATCGGTCAATCCAGTAGACGTGAGTCTTGAATAAGATGAAGCTTTTTTCCATTCAACACACTTTGATTGCATGTTTATAACAGAACAAGTTTTTGATATTCTACATAGATTAGGTCCTCTATGGTAACATGGTGCCTGGGCCTTGGAAAAACAACTTTTGTGAAATCAACACTTATATTTGTTGCAATAGCTAACAACTGCTGAAGAAACTGAGTACGATAGAACCGGTTCTATAAGCATCTGGATACTCTAGAAATGAAATTTGAACCCCGGACAGGCACCTGCAAATTGCAATCGAACTTTCTGCCGCATAAGTTCATAACCACTGCCACCCATAGTCTGACCAAGCGATCAGAATTGAAACCCATTACTACTAATCAGCTCCCGAATTGATCCAATCAGCTCTAGAATAAGGACGAATAGGCCGACACACACCTGTCCATCTAGACGACTAATATCACAACAGGCAGATAGCACTTTATCGGGCCGAGGGCAGACAATTGCTTTTGTTTTAGGATCGGTTATAGGAGCTATCACCGCCACTTGAAAAGAAGTAATACATATTTGTCAGATGAAATGGTTGATTGGACATATGCATTTGTATTTGTCAACTCACCATTGGGCATGAACAACTTGGACTTATCAAAACAGACCAATTGATACTGCTTGCCTTTGGCTTTGCAATCGAGGTTCGGTTTCTTGGGCTGCCCAGAGGTTCCGGCAGCATTCCCTGAGGTTGCTGCAAGTAGAATCAGTACAACTGGATGGTACAAGAACATCATCACGTTGAAAAAGCTGGACCTGAAATGAAGGCAATGAAATGATAGGGGAAAAAAATTGCTGGTGATGATAAGTGGGTCAGGATGTGGTAGACTATCAAAGGTCAAACCAGCTACGTGAGAATGAGGTCTTTTTTTATGATTGTAGAAAAGGCGCTGGTTGTTTCTTGTCAAGGTCATGAGTTCAAGAGTCAATAGAAGTGGATATGGAACACAGTCCAGCACAGCAATAGATCGATCAACTGGAAACCGGTGCCTGCTGACTCTCTCAAAGCCAATGTGTTGTCACTCGCTTGTGGGGTGGAGGTCATGACACTGGCTGACATGCAAAACGATACCAACTCTTGAAGGTTGAACCGCCGACTAAAGCAGCGTGAACAAGGCAGATGAAGCCTCTGTCTCGTGGGGGCACAGGGTCTTTCGGATCGGTCCTCTGGCACTCATGAGCAGCCTTCATTTCTCTGGTCATAATGGAACTCGTCAATAGGGGGATAAGTGCCATCAGTGAGGCCCTGGAGCTTGGTAACGGTCCACTTCGCCATTAACATTAAAGCTAAAGAAAGACAAATCCTTTTACTTTTTTGGGTTCACACATTTTCAACACTTTTTTGTAGAGTATGGTTATGAGTTTTTGCTTGTTTACAATCATGTTTTACACTACTCAGACTGATGATCAATTACTGATTAACTACTCTACATAAATGTGGTATTTTCTGATATTATGGCGCTTTGGATTGAAGAAATCAACTTTTTAAAATCAATCTCCTTGGCCACAATCTCTTGCAGTTTTGTAAATTTTCAACAGCTGAAAAAAAGGAAAACATCATAATGGCTTTGGGAAAGCGTATTTCTTCAGGATTGGTGACCTGCATGAACGCCCGGACAGGCCTTTGGAATCGAGTCTGAGCTAACAGTACCACCCAAACGGGGGGAAAACTGCCCAAGTGATCAGTTTTAATGTCGATTAGTTCCAAATTTGACCCAATCAGCTCTAGAACGAAGAAATTTTGTACACACATATTCATATGCTACTAATGACGCAGAATTACAGCAAGCGGAAAGTATGGCTGGACTGTTTGGGCAGGTAATTGTTTTTGATTTTTCATCGATTTTGGGGGCAACAGCCGCCGCTTTTGAGAAGTAATATGTCATATGAAGTGTGAGATGAAACGGTTACTCAACACTAATCTTGATCAATGATAGAAGTGTGCTCACCAACTAGTACAACTAGAGTGGACTTATCAAAGCAAACCAAATCAAAAGATTTACATATCTTTGGTATTTTTGGTGCTACAATTAGAATCCGGCTTTTTGGGACTGCCAGCGGTTCCGACAGCATCTCCTGAGGTTGCTGCGAGTAAGATCAGAATAACCGGATGGTATATGTGCATTATAGCGTGACGAAACTGGATGATCAATCAGGTTTGGAGGGAGCTAACTGAGAAGTGATGATGGGATTTTTTTGAACAATTGATCAAGGATGCGTTTCTGATGATAGCCTATAGGTCACAGGAGGGTGAGGATATGCTAGAATGTCAAAGAAGCCACCCAAGCATGTGTGTTTTATGATTTCAAAAAGGGAGCTGATTGCATCTTATCAGGCAGAGTATTGGGGAGCAACAAAGTAAGCATAAGACCCTTGTTACAACCACAGTCCGGAAGTCAGGTACTTCCTCAGTCCTTTCTCATACTCAGAACTATCCACACACTCCGCGCCTTCTCCATTTCCACATCGATGTACTTCCTCAACTCAAAACTGCTCTTACTGACTCAACATTCACTCTCAATCAGACCGAAATCAGCCTCAGCTTCTCAGACTCAACACACAATCAAAACCCTTTCAAGAACTGAACTGATCTTTGTTATTGTTACTGTTTATCTCTCTTCCCTCTGTTTCCTCATATACTCAAATGCTACGCGTGTTCTCTTTTCCTTTATCTATATGCCTACAAAGGAATAGCCAAATATTTGTACTTATAAGACTGCTGCCTGTCAACTGTTTGTTTCTTTTCTCTCTCTCTCATGCTTCACGGAATTACATACTTCTGCCTATCTCATCTCACAGTCACTGACTTCGACAGTCAGACTCTCCCCATTCTGTGCCACGCACTACTATCATCGCACCTCGTGCACATACTGCCCTCGCTAGAACCCTCCCCATGATCACAGAAGTATAAATATATCACCTAGATACCGTAGTAAAATGGCTCGGACGAGGCCAATGTGTTGGCATTCATTTATAAAAGTTTGAGAAGTCATGACACGGGAGGGAAAGTGGAACAGAAACTGCTCTTGAATCTTCAACCGGAAACGGAAGCTAACTTCATTGGATCCATATGAAGCCCCTTTCTCTAGTAGGGGAGCATGGTCTTGATTAGCACTGGCTTGCCAGTTTTCAAGAAGGGGGGGGGGGGGGGAATTCATCAAGGTAGCAACCAAAATTTGTAAACTTGGGACCACCGCACTCAAACCTCAACAGCATTTCAGCTTCTCCTGTTATTTATTCTTCACATACCAATATGTGTTCTTATTCTTAACTCTCTTAACGGCTGAAATTAATCCACAAAACCTTCCCAGTTAATAAATCTGAAAGTCCTAATATTGTGAGATCATTGACTAACCCAGTGTAGTTCAAGTTTTAGATCTCAAAGTCATCAATTCCTTTCATGAATAAAATCAATAAAATTTTGACAAGTTTTCCAATAAAAATATAACCAAGTACTCCACAGCCTCGACTACTTCATTTTCATTGCCAAACAGACCCTTCACAGAGCAAGAAGAATAAGTTGATGATCAAATCAATCTTGCTTCATAAAGACTAGATTAATTAGTTGATTTGATTTGTAAAAAATTGATTTCCTTGGTACACAAATGGTCAATTCGCGCCTAATACTTTGCCTTCCTTCTTTGTATCAAGTCCAATCGTGTGAATTTAAAAGGATTCTGGGTTTCAGTTATATCACTCCTTCTTCTTGAAGATTGTTGTAATGAGTTTTTGAGGATAGCTAATCTTTGATTGCTTTTGATTTAATTCCTTCAAATATGCTAGGTCTTTAAATCTCCACATGTATCTCAAAGATAAATTTTTCCCCTTATCAGACAGGAAAAACTATGAAAATAATTTTTCTGTCCAGCCTGACCCTTTACTTCAGTGGAAAATTGTTGGGTTGTTTTGGCCAAGATCCATTTTGTAAAGGTCCCTTATAACAATCTTATAAAGGCATTTAATCCTTTAAGGGAGACTCTTCCGAATGTAGCTCAGGAGAATTAAGTAATGATTGGAGGGGTTGAGTATTGTATATGGTAGTGGGAAGAGGTCCACCTTCCTCATGGTGCACTGTAATGAGCGTTAAACTTCGGCGGAGATCAAAGCATTACTTTTCTCACTAGAAAACAGTCTCGGAACCATTAGTAGTTTCTCTCTCAGCATACAAGTCTCCACTTGGTACATAAGTATCTTTTGCTGGGCCCCCTTCAAGCCTAATGCTGACTTTAGCAATTGGAAAATCTGAAACGGACTGAGATCTGCTGACATCGCCTGTGGAAGCTTATCATAATCTGAGTTGAAGACTTAAGCCGAAAGCCAAATGATTTGCTATCGGACAAGAGAATTGTGGAGATTCCTTGTCGTCATTGGTGGACTTGATTATGCCTCACGACTCAGGATTACTCGGTAAAAAGGATCCCTGGTGGAGGGATGATCATAATTTAGGTGTCTCCTGCTGCTTCCAAGTGCAAAATTTATGGAATTTCCCCACAGGGCGATACGGCCAAGTCTGCACCGCCAAAACATTGGTCTACTTGGTGGGATGATACAGATCCTCCTTGCTCTTAGCTCTAATTCAGAGGGAAATCTTGAAAGTTGACCTTATGCTATCACTCTCTCCTTGGAAGTTAGAGTCAGAGCTGTCAGCTTGCGGGTCCCTGTGAGCGTTTTAACTTTCGAGTTCCCTATCTATGACGTTTTGGCTTGCCAAGAGTGACGTCGACCCGGTCAGGATAGTTCTCTGCATTTGAAGTGCAACTCTTCTGATCCTTCACCGAGGAAACGATGGAGCTCAAGAATCCTAGCTTCATATTTTGTATATACACCAGACAATCAAGTTCCCTTCTTTCGCCGTCGATGAGCGCAGTCTCAGGCCTGAAAGTACAAAACACGTGGCTCGATGCGCCGGCGGTCGACGACATGTTCTGTCTGCAATCTTCATACCCGTATCTCTGTTTCAAGTTTACCAGGCCATACAGCCTTTTACCTCGACGAAGTTAATTTTATTCATCGACTTCAGTGCAAATAAATATCGACACTCGTACACAAAAGAGAATTGTGCCAAAATCACTCCAATACAACTGTATAGGGGGTCACCGGAGTCAGTCCCTCTGAGACTTATGAGGTCTTTACGGCATCGGGTACTGATGATTACCAATGAAACCCGTACTCATGTAGAAACTTGAATTCTACGGACTGACCAGCTGTGAGCAAGACGCTCAGGTGTCAGAGGGAAATCGTTAGGATAGATGACTCGGCTGAGGCAAAGAAATTTATTAAAGAAAAGGCATGTCTGCGGATCCAAGGGAGCCAGCCAATCCGGTCTCTATTCATGATTTATTGACCCATTATTCTTTGCTCTCAACGAGTTGGGCTCAGATAATGGGCAAAATCACCGAACTGTTCGAAACTCCAAAACCTCAAGAGGTTTATCACACTCATTCCGCCGAGGATGGCGTACCGCCCTTGACCTTCGTTGTCAGCATCCAACAATGTCAATTTGCGAAAAATCAAGAACCTATAACTGGCGATGCAGAAACAGATAATACAACCCAAGACACAATCGTTCCAAAAGATGAACCATTTGACCGTCAGAATCACAAATTCAATCAACTTGATTATCCAGAACTGCCAGAAAGCTTTTCATGGAGAAAAAAATGGCTGATAACCTTGCTGGGTGAGTAAACAGCCAAGATGTAATCAATCAACTTCTCCCATGCCAAATTTCACCCAAGAATCAGCTAAACTTTGGTGGGTTTTTACACAACTTTTCCCCAGTCTTGTCAGTGGTATACGGTAAGTACTCCGGAGTCTGGCCCAGTGGATTATGACTCTTGGAAGCTGAAAAATTTCTCTTCAAATTTCTTACTCCTTCTTTCTGAAAACAAAGCCAATGCAATATTCTCTTCGTTGGTTTCTACACTTGGAACTAAGATTGAGGGCGAACTTACTGCAGATTTCATTAGTGGTTTGAAAGGTCTAAATGTCCCTCTATCAGTTTTTAATCTTGGAAGTGAGTGCACCCTTTCGTTTTCCAGTAATAAAATCAGATGCATTGCTGGGGGAGAAGAAAATGACACTCCAGAAAAGGTTATACACAACGAATATCCACCTGATCAATCTGTTTTTTTAACCTCGTTAAACCAAAACTGAACACCAAAAACATCCTAAAATCATCTTAGATGGGATCGGCACAATATTTATGGCACCACTTTCAGAGAGATACGGACGGGTGCCGGTGATGAGGTCAGGATGGATGTTGTTCATCATCCTCAACATAGGTTGTGGCTTTGCGACGAACCAATCCCAGCTCTTCTTCCTCCGTCTGCTTGCCGGGATTGCCGCTGGCGGGCCGATCTGCCTAAGCCAAATCATTCTGGCTGAGATGTGGGGCAGACGGGCCAGAGGGACGCCCTGTTGCTTGAATTCACTTGTCGTTGTTGTTGGCCCATCAATAGGCAATGTCTTAGGTAGGCTTCTACTTCTTTGATATCCAATAAAGCGGAAATAATCCAAGCAAATCTCACCTGGATTAAAATTAACATTGTCTAATCCTGTTAGGTGGATGGACAATAGAATCTTTTCCTTGGAGATGGATATTTTGGGCCACAAGTCTGATTTCCATCGTTCAACAGATATTGGTGATCTTATTCCTTCCGGAAAGTAAGTCAACTAGAACTCATGTGATCTTAATGGGTTCTTGCTTGGAAGAATGTATAAGGACATGAAATTGAGTGAGCTCAAAAGTCAAGATGCTCAAATGTTGTCCCTTTTTTGTATTCTTCCTTTGACCCACTCCCATCATAGCCAACAAGGCCAAGCTTCATACCACAAGTCCCACTGTCCAGATGTCTGATATCAAGTTGAGCAACATCACCATAGTTGATGATGACCAGTCACAAATCATTCATCCCAACTCCAACTCCAAACCCAAATCAATTGATGGAAAATCTACAAGGCCATCAACTCCTGTCAAGGAAAACTCAACTTTGGATCAGCATAGGTAACTTATTCATCCTAATACTGGTGAGGTGCTTCTCAATACATCAACTAATTGAACTTGATTTTCTCATTCTTTCTTGTAGGTTTTCCCAGCCAAATTTTCTTACAAAATTCATTCCACCTCCCTTGTGGATTTTTTTCCACGATCCTTTGGTCTTTATCTTAAGTGTACAGATGGGGTAAGTGACAATATCATGAAATGTTTTGGGATTATTTTCCATTCATGCCCACGTCTTATAGAAGCGGAGACTGAGGAGATTTCTTTCTCGTTTTTTATTTATTTCCGTGTCTCACAAAACCAGGATGATCTATGCGTTGTTTTACATGGTCCAAACCCGAATCATATCATTCTATCACCACGACCTGAACGAGTCAACCGAAATGAGCAGTCTGCATGTGTTGTCAATGTCGCTCGGTGCAATCTGTGCAAGCAAGCTCAACACCCGAGGCCTGTCAGCAATCTGTGACCGGCTTCGAATCGTCTCGGAGCGCTCCCGGGATCGGCCAGAGTATAAGTTCCGATGTATGATCCCAGGAATCTTGCTCCTCCCTATTGGTGCCTTTTGTTTTGGTATGAATCGTTATCTAATCTTGCCTAACCCTTCAACTTGCTAAACTAATGCCTTTTTTTCGTTCTTACTCACAGGTCTCATCACTAACATCAAAAGCTCTTGGCTGCTACCAGTAAGTAGAACCTACTACTGAATAATTATTTGTTCACTCACTGATTGGCTAATTCTCAAATTTTACAATGGCTTGACAGGATGTTGGTCTTTTTTGTCTTGGAGCAGGCGTGATTTTTGGGTTTCGTAAAGCAGGTTCTTACATTATTGATGTGCGTGCCTAAGAATTATACGATTACAGATTTACTTTCCCAATCGTTTTTTTTTTCGAATGAATTGCTCAAGTGTTGCACTTTTGATCCTTATTTCTGGTTGCGAAATTGATTTTCAGACATTTGGAGACCAAGCAGCCTCGGCTCTAGCCGCAATGCATCTGATACGAAGGATTGAAAGTTTTGTGATCCCATTGGTGATCAACCTTACAATCAAGGGCAGATTTAAATATGAGCTCATCATCCTCGGCTCCACCCTCTTTTCCCTTCTCATTGTCTGCCCAATGCCTTTCCTTCTGTTTACATATGGACCTAGAATAAGGAGACTGCCACTCTCTGGAGATTAGATTATAAAATAAAAACAAAAGTAAAAAAAAACACCCACTCAGTCTCAAATAATACCCATTTTACTCAAGAGGAGTACTTATCCGTATTTAGGTCTCCTCTATCTACATATCCACGGACAACTTTGCCAAGCAATTGATCTTGAGTATCCAGTTAGAATTCCTTCTGGTTGCTGCTTAATTTTATCTTGAAATTAATCACTTTTTGGAAACTTTGTTGACCCAACAAACCAAATCAGCAACCCCCAGGGCCCACAGGTTACTGAAGTGTTGGCTAGACTGAGCAGAAAAGGTTTCTCCTGACTGGACCTTCTCTGAAAATGTTCCAGCTAGATCCCTGATTAATGTTTTGGTCACAACCTCACCCTATGAGGTGCAGAATTGTTTTCTGTAGCTGATCAGTTCAAGGCTTTCTGGGTTGTCTAAAGTTGTAGCTACAATCCCCGTTGTGAGCCCCAGGGTGGTGGTGGCCAGGGAGAAGACAAAAGCTTCCCCCATGACAGGCTTTTAAGCAGGCAATATCCTTGTCAAAACCCCCTTGGTTTCTGGGGGGTTTTAAGCACCTTCCCGGATGACAGATCTCTCATCCGACCCCTTCAGTTCTGTCCACAACCACATCGAAATTTTTAAAAATTCACCCCCCTCCCCATAAAATTCATAATCCCACTCCTCGTCGACAGAACATCACCCACCTTCCTCATGCCGCCAGGCATTCCCCCCCCACTCCCCCCTCCTGACCCCCATGCAGGCAACCCATCGATCCGCACGCTAACGGAATCGATTCATAGCCGACTGGACGCGTCCGCGGACGTGAACATGGATACCGCTACGGAAGATAGCCCCGCCCCTGCAACTAGCCGACAACAGCCACAAGCCCCGCCCCCGGAAGAATTCCCACTGCTGAACTTCTTCAGAGCGCTCCGAGCCGACCCAAACAGAAGAAGCGAAACGGGTACCTTGAACCTTGACGCGACGACGGAAGCTCTACTCCTCCAGCTAATTGAAAGCGAGGCCAGACGGAGCAGCGACCTCAAACTGTTCACCGAAGAATTGCGGGGTTTTTGGGTCGACTTGCTTTTCTTTCTTCCTTTGCTTCTTTTCCAGGCCACTCATCCTCCAGAGGAATCTTATTCGACCGTCTCCTGCTGCGTCTCTGAGGTTTCTTCTTGATTCAGCTCACAACTTGTTCGACGGAATCGACTCCTTCATGAAGTGAAAGTCTGCTTAGATTCTTGCTCCCGACTTAAACCCCAGTTCCTTAAACTCTGCTCGCCAAAGCCTTCGCCGTTCGGTTTTTTGAGGAGGAAGTGGTGCTTCAGGCGCACACCGTTGTATCACCCCATCCATCTACATGCTTTGGCTTGATTTCTACTCGTTCACACCCATCAGCCTCCTTGCCAACTCCATCAACCACTCACTCACGACCATTCTCACACCCAATCTATGTCACCCATATTCCTCATAACCTTACACTCGACTCTGTAAAACCTCTTCGGAACCAAGAAGGAAGACTTTAAGAGTCGCTAGTACGCGCTTGTATACGCAGTTCATACAGCCCCTTATTTCAATCCTTCGCAACTTCTGATCTCCAGTCGATCAGTCGATACACCCTGTACAATCCCCTCTCAAACATATCCTTAAATTCACTTATTTAATTTTAAATACAGTTCCACCTGACCATGCTACTAATCCCTATCTTCCTTGCCATCATATCACTCACCTCGGTCTCAGCCTGTGGCCATGACCTACATCTCTATCGTCGGCAACGATCCACTACTTGGCAATCCGCCGCTCAATCGACCGATCCAACGGTCGAGTGTGCCCCTTATAGCTATGCTCCAGTCCAAGCGGTCGTAAGTTATAATTATATCTAGGCTCTTTTTTCAGAAACCGGTCATCAAGAAAAATCACCTGCTAATTAATCTTTTTTTTCGGTTATTGCTTTGTGTGAAAACCTTCAGGTAAAAACTTACCCTGCCATCTGGCAAATCGCAAATCTATCTCGTTCAGTCGATCCCTCTCACTCGGACTACATATTGACCTCTTTTCAGAAGCGCATACACGCAGTACTAAACCAACCCACTCTGCTTCTTCCCTCCAGAGCCTGGTCTCGATCCGCAAGCTCTTCAAGTCTACAGTCAAATCCAATCGAAAATCCCAAACATCGCCGTCAAAGGAACTCCGACTGGCGATTTCACCGCCACCACACCCAATTACCCCCGCTCCGATCCCGACTGTTGGTGGTCGTTCGGAAAATGTACGAGACCCAAGTTGGCCGGATTGAGTCCTGATATATCCACTTGCCCCGAGCCGAACACCTTCGGTCAGTCTCAATCGATCTGCCTCCCTTGTTCACGCTAAAACTAATCGTTCACCCCTCAATCATTCAGGTTTCACATTGGACGATGGACCCAACTGCTCACACAGTTTAGTTCTTCATTTCCAGTCGCTAGTTTTCGTTTTATTGACTCGAATAACTCTCTCTTAGATGCATACTACGACTTACTTCGTCAGACTAATCAGAAAGCAAGCCTGTTTTACGTCGGATCGAACGTGATTGATTGGCCCTTGGAAGCTCAGCGCGGTCTGGCCGATGGTCATGAGATTTGCTCGCACACTGTCAGTAAAATTCTGAGCAAGAATCGATGGACCCTTTGGAAAAAACAACTGACTGGTGTATTGTAATCCCAGTGGTCCCATAAATACATGACCGGTCTTACCAATGAACAAGCCTTTGCTGAACTTTACTTCAGTAAAAAAATCATCAAGGATGTTCTCGGGATCACCGTCCAATGTTGGAGACCTCCTTTTGGGGACACCGATGACCGTATTAGATTTATTGCTGCCAGCTTGGGGCTTTCGACTGTCCTTTGGGATAATGACGTCAACGACTTTGTGAGTCCATCAACTCGATGTCGTGTCCTCCTGATTAGTCTGACTGACTGTTCGGTCTCATTGCCTTCAGAGGTTTGCCACTTTGGGTCAGGCTGCAGTCAATGCAAATTATCAAAATCTTTTGGATGGGTCTGCCAGAGGAGACTTCAACACACACGGAACCATCGTCTTGTCCCATGAATGTGAGTAAACTCCACGTTTAATCTCCCGTATCCGACGATGTAATTGATTGAGCGTTTCTTTAAGTGAACGGTGGGACCATGAACACTAGCGCGGCATACTTGCCGAAGATTCAGCAAGCCTTTAAGCATGTCGTCCCAGTTGCCGTTTGCCAAAACATCAGTCAACCTTACCTCGAGACCGGCTACAACTATCCAGTGAGTACATGCGATTTTCTAAGTCTGCCTAATGCAGAGGCGTTGGCTGAGAGTGTTTTGTCTTCTGAAAGTCGTTTGCCGAGTGGGTGAAAGGTACTCGTGTTAAAAACATTCCAGACCCTGTATCTAATCCAGGAGCACCACTCCAAATCCCAAGCTCGCCTGCCCAAGGGTCGAGCTCATACCCATCCGCTGGTGCTAACACGGGCTCTGGTGGTGCTGCTCAGAAGAACGGAGCAGCATCAGCCTATAGGACCTCAATCGAGCGTCTTTCCATTCTTGGCCTCTTGACATTGACCATCGTTGGCCTGCAGTAACAGCGATTAGATCTCTCAAGGACACAGTTTTTAAAATTGAAGAAGAACTTTGTTTCTAGAAAAAAGATCCTTAGATTCTCCATTTATCTATCTATTTACTATGATGATCATTTATTAATCTTCTGCTCATTCGGTTCTCTCCAAAAGTCAAAACAACTCTTGAGCTTACCAAGATGGGTAGATTTGAAGCTGTATTCCTCTAATATTCCTTTTTTTATATGATTGGCTTGATAGGTAGACATGTTCTTTATTGATCCGGCCCTCCAAGTTGCATCTTCTTGTTTTTGTTGCCTAGCAATCTGGTTTGCTCGATCCCTTTATCCTTCTCACTCAAAACCCCTCATTTTCTTTCTTCTTCATTTCTTCTTTTTTCATTTCCTGCTACTTCTCTCTCTTTTTCACTCTCTTTTCCTCTTGCTTTCAGTAAAATCAAATACACATTTTTCAAGCCAATCAGAGCAATACATCACTTGATGGATCCATTTCTTTATTTTTTTTTTCCTGGGTACATGTGGGAACAAGATTTGGAAACTCCTCTTTACTGACCATTAGGAGTATCAGGAATGATTTATATCTGGTCTCGGTTTCATGACCTTATTTTCAGGGTGTTGATTGTAAGACTCTTCATTAAATGAATTCAAATACTGCCTGCTCATGGCAATCCCCACACCTGAAAGCTGTAGGCTGTATAAAGAGCTTCAAAATGATCTTTGTTTTCTTTATTGAGGCAGGTATGATGTTAGCTAAGCAAGGCAACAGCTTGGAAAAATTTCTAGAACCATGAGTATAAAGTGCTGATTCCTGGCTCAATAGAACCAAGTCAGTTTTAAGATCTGTACTCTACAATTGGGGAGGGAGATAAGAAAAGAGAGAGAGAGAGGTCAGAGGTGAGATATCATCCACTTTTTTCTTATCCCACTATGTGTTTCACTTGGTTTTATGTTGGCAATGGTCAGATAAACCACCAAGTCAAAACTAACTACTCTTGGAACCACAATTCTCCAGTAGAACTAAATGGTCTGAGAGCAGATAGACAATCCCAATCTGAGTTCAGATTCTGAACCAACTGGAGCAAATTGTAGGCCCCAGAACATGAGCCCTTGCCTTTGTTGATCACTCCCCTCTGCTTGAATGAAAAGGCCAACCAAGCACTTGATGGTTACACAACCCAGAAGGGGACTCAAAGTTCAAACACTGTGGGATATGATTGGGATTCAAAACAGACTTCAGGGGCAAAGATTTTGCATGGGGAAAGACTGAAAGAATTTGGAACTGAAGCAGTTTTATTTCTTTATAAGTTTATGTTCTTAATAAAGAAATACAAATGATAATGAATAAATAAAAATGAAAAAGAGAAATCTGAGCAGTACCTGAAGGCAGAACTGATCTAAATAAATCTAAGTGCTAAGGCTTGACAACAGTGATAAAGAAAATGATTTCGGATAAGTTATTCAGGTAATAATTTAAGTGACTGAATCAAGATATCAGAAGATCATTGCGTTGTTAGCCTATATCATAGAATTTATTATCTCTCTTTCAACTTTAAAAATAAAGACTTTACTTTAATTGGTAAGAAAATATTTGTTCTTTGAATTAATAACTGTGTAGTACTAGTTGTTTGACAATTCTAACATAAGACCATCAAGTTTAAAGTGATGATTCAGTTATGTTTCTCTTTTTTTAACTTAAGAAAAAGGCAATTAAGTCTTTTCTTTTACTCACCAACTATTGGTGGAAATATACGAGTAATAAGTTTGCATTCAGTAATATTGTGCAAGTGTAGGCTGATGACAATGAATGATGATTTTTGATAGATGAAGAATTAGAACTGGATTCTCTCTTGTTCTAATTCTTCTTCCTTTGATTCAATATCTCGAGACTCACCTAGAGCTCGGTGATTCATCATGATCATCATTCTTATCATTGCCTGTGAGGTCATTGACGTCACTACTTGATGTACAAGTTACTATCACATTTTTCTCCTGTTCTTTTGTTGAACAGCTTGTTTCTACAAATAATCACACATTTCGTGATCAGAGTGATAATTAATTTATTTCTTCAGGAAGTTTATCAATTAAGTGATAAACTTACCTGATGCTCTCCTCTTTTGAGGGATCAGACAAGGAATCTTATTCCAACAAAGACAACACCTAGATCAGGAGTAGAAAATATTAGTTATGGTTTCTACTGAGGGATCCCAGGGACTGAAACTAGCACATGCTGGTTTGCTCCCACCATGGGCCTGAAGGGGGGGGGGATAATAAACATAGTCTTCGGTGAGCTCACAGAGACTTGCATGGTGAACTGGTAAAGAGTAGTAATGGGATACTTTTTAGAAGCATATCTTGATAAAAGCATACAAATACTACAAATTGGATCTGTTATTTCAATGCTTTCTTGATCACATGATGGATTATGGGTGCATTGATCACAATTTTGATAGGTGTGTTCATATAGAATTTAGAGTGGGATTTAAAGCAGTGCTGTGTATGGTGAACAGAAGTCCTTGAATTGTTTTATCATTATTATCAATCCCCAGTGGTGGTAAGAGCATGTTGGATAGTGACAATCTTTCACCCTGAAGGAATCTATTCCTTTCCACTTATAAAAGTCCATATCCCAGTCTCGTCGACTGGAAGGGTTTCCTTCCAGCCAAAGAGGCATGTACCTTGTTGACTGGAAGGAAACCCTTCCATCCGGAGAGCATGTACCTCTTGGCGCCTGGAAGGAAACCCTTCCAGCCGGCCATTGGCCTCAGGTATCCATTGAGATACCCGGGTATCTGCTGGTAAATCGCGGGAAATGGCGCATCCTCTGGCGGGTATCCGCTACAGCAGGCGAGTATCTGCCAGCGGATAACGGGTATCTGCGACTGATACCCGGAGACCATCTCTAAATATAATTTTTGCTTGCTCAACATAACTGATCCCCTGAGAATTTCTTCTAAAAATTCACTAGTAGGTATTTTCCTATAAGCTAATATCCCCCACCATGAGAAAGTCAGTTGCTGAAAGATGACATCATGAGGCTCACATCCATCATCATCTGTCCAAGCTCAGGGTACACACAAGGTCAATCTTGGCCACACAGTGACTGTGCAAAGATGTACTGGCTCAACAAAGTGGCAGCTTCCCTCTGGAGAATACTTGATGTCACTTGAAACTGCTAGTAAGTGTTATCATTGTATTCATGGTGCCCCTTCCTGATTTTCTAGCACACATTAAATCCAAGGCTGCTTTGCTGAATATTTCACTATCCCAACAGAGAGTATATCAGAGCAAGAGTGATTTTCTGTCCATTCTTACCACTTCAATCAAATCTACATATAACTAAAATAATAGGCTTGGAGAGCCAAACAAACTGACATGCAATCTAACACCGTTTTGAACCTCCAATTCACATTTTTTGACACCACTGTTAGACCAAGACAGACAGGTGTGCAACTCAAGATAAACACAATAGGTCATTGAGCAAAACCCCCAAGTAAAAAAAAATGGGGCAAGCAAACCTCCCAACCAGAACTAACCCAACTTAGGGGCATGTACTAGTTCTGTATAATCAATTGCTTATGAGCACCTTTTTAAAAGCTTTACATACATATTTGTGAATTCAAGCCAGGGTCTTGTTTGGACCTAGGACTGATTTTATTTTGCCGAACCTGGGGCCCATTACACCATGAAGATCAAGAATTTAGTTTATTTTTAATGACAATGAAAATCTCAACAGAAATGGCTCTAAGGTGGTGTGAGAAAGAAAGGTGAAGAACCCATGGTGTTTGATTGCTGCCAATCTGCTTGCTAACATACCCCACATACATGCACACAAGCAACAGTCACAGAATGATAATGGACATAATAGTCTTGAGTGAAAAGAGTGGAGCAATTTGGTTCCTCATTGAAAGAGTTTCAAGTGATGAAAAGGAATGAATATAGAAGGAAGCATGCAGTCATAGAGTATGCAATTGCAAGTACACTTTGAATCTTGGCATGTTTGAGATCCTTATGGAGGATGGAGATATGCTCCTGTCAACGGGTTTACAGACACGTGGTAAGCCAATGACAATATTTATTTCAGATGAATAAATGCTGCTGACTTGGTTATTTCCAGTCATCTTATTTCGTTCGTTCAGTAGGATCAGAATTGAAAGGAGTTCGAAAAAAGGATCCAATTGATCTCTTATGATCACCTTCTCCAGCAACTTGATTTTTGGCATTCCATGAGGCTGTTGACTCTTGAATGCTTGATGATTCTTGGAGTTTGGCCGCTTTTGCTGATCTGATTTGGTGGCGAACCAAGCGAGAGAAAGAAAGAGGTCCAGACAAAGGAAATCTCAGATCAGTGCTCTATTTTGTTTTCTTCTTGTAGTTGGATCCCTCTTGGATGGAATGTACTCAACTCTACGGCTGCACGTCTCTTTGGATCAGCAAGATCCCGGAATGTAATGTGGTCCATGATTTCCATTGACACAATAGTGCTCATCAACAGGTGTTGGAGAATTAAGACACTGATTACATTTCTCAGTACAACTACAATGAATATATCCGAATTGTGAAATAGTTTCATTATTTGGAATCTGCTGACGATCCTCTGATAAGTGATTCTTGTTAAGTTGGTTAGAAGGATCGGTGCACAACGATATTGTTGCGTCTTAACGTATGAAAAAAATTGGGGGGTTTCGTACTTTTGTCGTTGATTTGGAATACTACGATGACCTGAGTTCTGGGTGGATGAGACTCAACTGAAAGCATCGATAGATCCTTATTTATATGCCTGATGGATGGCTCCCTTCGCGGGAGCAGAATGCATACGCTGATCGAAAGTAATAGAAATTGCATGTCGGTTGTATGATTCCTGGATCAGACGATTGTCGTTGATAGCAGTGCTTACTGGAACTTTGATGGACCGCGCAGGAGTATATAACATGGATCCATTTTCGAAACATGCTTTCATCGGAAGGAAGATAAGATAAGGGTCTTAAATATGTTGACCTTTGATATCGG